TTATATATTACAATGTAGGTTTTCACGGATGGTAGAATATGATGTGTTGTTTTTCCGGGTGTTCATCCGTTGTGTACTATTCGATAGTCGACGTTTCGCCATCATCTCAAATGGCATTATCAAGACAAGTTACTGCTTCGCTTCGCAGTTACACCTCTCGAAATTTTTTCTAGTTTAATTTTGTAAATGAATAATTTTTTCGTAAAATGCGTCGGAAAGGAGATATTCCTAAAAAACCGTTTTTAGACGACATTTTTTCAAGATGGCGGCGCGAGCGGCGGGGGTACGAGGTGGCAAAGTTGAAATTCGAAAAGAGCATACCCAAATCTATAAATTAACCAATTTTCAAAACTCCCGGAAAGCTTTCCAGGTAACCCCCTTTTTTTACCAAATGACTGGACTATATATTTCTACTATAAAAATAGCCATTGAAAGATGCGGCTGAATGGACAGCTGCGGCATTGATAAAATTTATGTATCCACCAATTCTACCTCTACTTTTAACTTGCACATGCGTAATTGCACGTAAACAACAAGTGAATGAACGACAAGTCTAGAATGGTTTCACAATACGTGACTAGTTGTTATGACTCATCCAAACATCGTGTTTGTTGTGCAATGTTACCTCTCACCTACCTGTGGCATAATTCCTGACCTACATCGTTAGCGCTTCAGCCTGACATTAAAACACCGTAGAAGCTTCATTAAAGCAAAGAAAATCAAAATTTTGGCCGGTATATACGGGGTTTCACGGCCAACTTCGATTTCATAGACACTGCAATATCTGTCTTTTCTGACGAAATACGTGATAACAATCTCGAACTCTCTTGCCGGATGGAGTTTCCAATTCTCGGTCTTCATAGAATTGGTTAAGTTCAGGCATGCGCCGACTCTCTTCCAGCGAGTTTTATATAGGGTGAAAGTCACCTTGATTTCAGTCTTATTGTAGCGCGGAAAAGTAGAGGCTTGTGAGCTTTTCAGTGATAACGAAACTGTTGATAAGTTCAGGAAGTAAAACCGGTGAGTTCAAGATTAACGTTACAGTGGTTTTATTAATTTACGGTTTATTAATGATGTGAGTTAGGATTTATAATGAAAGGAAGTAATATGAAGAGAAATAATAATTTCTTTTGGGGGATTTTTTATTTACTTTTTTTTTTAAATTTCTGTAGCGCTGTTCACCAGAAACAAAGATCATTGTTGGGAAAAAATTGTAATGTTATTTTGTAGAAAAGGCTTGTCAAAGAAATAGTTTCCAGGACATGGGCACTTTGAAAACTTTGACTTTTATTCGACCTTCATGCTGACGCTCTTCAGCCGATGTATTCTGATACATACAGCTGATAAAATTCTGTATGGTCTCTCCAGGAGTTCGATTATTTATTCCAAACCGTTATTATTAACACCTCAACACTTTTTACAATCACCAAGTGATCATCTTCAAGAGGAAGATTGAACTTTTAATTTTCTTCTCGAAGATGATGACTTGGTGATCGAAACACATGTCGAGGTGTTGAAAATAACGGTGTGGTGTTGGGATAACATTTCAGTAATATTTAATAATAATGAAGAAAAGAGAATCGAAACTTTTTATGTTTTTTACCACTTTTATTTGCAGTTTCGTCCTATAAAGACATTTTGAAACTTATACATTAAACTAACAATGGTTCATTACATTAGCCCTTATATAGCACTTCTGTAGGTAATAATCGAGGTACTTGGCTTGATTGAGTACCTGAATTTACAATTGTTAATAATAATAATAATTAATAATGATAATAACACTAGCACAATGGAATATAAAAAAATGTGTGTAAAAATGTTTAAATTTAAACTAACTAGCAAATTTAAACTTGCATGTAGCCAGACAGTGAACATTACAGATAAAGATTAAAGTATCATATGTTAAGTAACATTTAAATAAATAATGAAATGTAGGTACATATAAACATTAAATTATTATTAAAACAGTGATATTTGGTTTCATTACAGATACAAATACCCTAGTGAACAATTAAAAACAATTAAAAACAATAAATGATAGCCAATAATGCTCCAAATATATTTGGGACACAAAATTTGTATTCTATTACTTTTTTAAAATTCTTTGAGTGCCCTTTTAAAACCCTTTAAAATGGAGTAAACTAAATCGATTTGACCATTTAACAGGTTGCACCCGCAATGATTATGCTTGTGAATTTCCAAGGATTCTAAATAATTGAGTTTGCAACCCTTCCTTGCATAGTGCAAAATTTCCGTATCGTTTAGATTCGGAAACTTGTCGTTGCATGCCGAGGGATGGTTTGAAAACGTCGAATTACTTTTTCTATGTGGCTACCACATAAAAGGTAGATACACAGTGCATTTCTTTAATGTCCCCCCTTTTATTTTTTAAACGGGTCAACTCAAAAAATTGAAATTTGGGATGATGAAATTAATGCATGAATACTTTATTTAGAAGTGAAATTGACAGTTGAATCTTTCAAGATGGCAACTGGGTGACATCTGGGGACAAAAAACTAAATAGAAAGAGGGGTCTCCTGAAGAATATGAAGTCAATATCTTCAATTACTACAAAATGGCAAAACATTAAATAATTTCCTGAAGACAAACACATTAATATCGATATTTCTAGAAATATTCCTTTTAATCTGCCATATGGTAATTTCAACAACCCGATAAGGTTTGTTAAGTTAGTTTTCGTTTATAAAAGCGACAAAAAATGTTAGTACGACAATGAAAATCCTTGCTCAGTTAGAGTATTCCCACTCAGTTTTCGGTTTTACTAGTAGAAAAGTTCCACGTCAATATTCTCTAAAATGGTCAATTCTCATACATAGGAAAAACAAATTGAAGCGATTTTTATTTACGGTGCGACGCGTAACTTTCACGAGACCGAAAGGATCCTGAACAGTCTACTTATTCCGTCGTGAATGTTTGTGAGGTGTCTCCTTCTACTGTGTGGAGATTTTGGCAGAGGAATAGGTATCATCCATACAAAATTGAAATGGTACACCAATTAACTGAAGATGCCCCTGATCGAAGAACAGAATTCTGCTAAATCATGACGGAAACCATTGCAGGGCATCGTTCCTATTTCCACAATAGTTGTGGAGATGAGTAGGATTTAAACGGCAATGTTCACAGACAAAATTGCCTTTATTGGAAAGACACAATTCCTCACGTTTTCCGGGAAATACATACCCAATATCCAGAAAAAATTAACGTTTAGGCAGGAATATTGGGAAACCATATTGTGGGACCTCTATTTATTGATCCAAATTTAACAGAGGAACTTGTACCTATCTGAAGATTCTGGAAACTACTGTTGACCCTCTCATCAGTGAAATAGTCGAAGCGAATCCTTATGAATTTTTTTCCCATGGCGTCCAGTCGCCATCTTGAAAGTTTCATCGGTCATCCCATTATCCCAAATTCAAATTTTTTGAGCTGACGCGTTCAAAAAATAAAAGGGTGGGGACATGCACTGTATACTTTGGCGGAATTTTTTAGAACTATTTAAGATTAGCAATCTTACGGTACATGTAAAGTTTTATCTAAATCTGTTCAGTCGTTTAGGCGTGAAAGAGCCACAAACATACATACTTACACACATCCTCACAAAATTTCACAGTTATATTAGTATAGATAAAATATAGATAGCTAGATATGAAAAATATCATTTCATACCACTTCATTGTATTGCACCTTACACAATTTGTTTTTTTATATTAATTCATCTGTGAGATCAAATAGGTACATGATATCGATCTAAAAAATACCGAAAGGGTTACTAAATTACTGAACACATAAAAGTTAGTTCCAAATTGCGGATGAATATTTACTTGCATTCAATCCTACACGATAAAGAGCTAAAAGATTATGTCAGTAGTAAACAAAACCGTAAATGAAATGTAGTTCGTTGTCTGGTTGACGCAAGAATATCAAATATTACTTGCAGACAAACTATTACGTTATCTTCATGATTCGTAAAAATGGAAAATAACAGATTAACGGATTAACCATATAAAAATCATATTTTATCTGTTACAATCGTCCTCTCGTGTCTGTGACCGATACTGTTGAATTAAAAATTTGATTGCCAGGGTCAGGGCCACAACATTGAGGAAATGATGAGAATTTTATTTCGTTTCAATTAGTCATCAGTATGATAAAGTTAATTTATTTGGGACTATCACACGTGCATATTTCAAAGTGTTGAAAATCTACAAATTGTTGTTTGTTTGAAGGTGATTGACAATGCTCCATGATGAATTTCATTTCATCAGTTCGGACTTCCATTGCTTAATATAATATGATTTGAAATCTCTGAAATAACAAATGAAAATTGGGAATTACATAAAAAATAACAAGTATATTAGGCAAAATACTTTAAAATGAAATTACAATTAAATTAAAAGGTGAAGTAACTTGGCTCTATTTTTTTTAATTTTAAATTTTTATCACATCATCACAGGACACAGCAAACGTCAGATGCAGGTTTGAAAAAGCAAATTTAAATGTATTTATAATGTCTATAAATCGAGGGGGATGAAAATATTTGAATATTGAGGTACACTACAAATCTTAAAATTTTAAAACAGTATTAACTATAATACAAAGACAAGAATTTAAGTATTCAGCTGAATTTAAAAATCTGAGAAGCACAGTTGAAAGAGTATCTAAAACTAATACACGTTATTACGAAAGCATTGAAGGGCCACACAAAAATATTTTTTTCCAATTGCATAATTCTGATTTTCATCTCAGAATTCTGAGTTGCAAGTCAGAATTCTGACTGGAATCTCAGAATTGTGACTTGCAAGTCAGGATTCTGAGATTCAAGTCAGAATTTTGACTTACAACTCAGAATTCTAAGATACAAGTCACAATTCTGAGAAAAAGGGCCACACAAAAATATTTTTTTCGATTTGTATAATTCTGACTTACAAGTCAGAATTCTGAGATACAAGTCAGAATTCTGACTTGGAAGTCAAAATTCTAAGGTACAAGTCAGAATTCTGAGATTCAAGTCAGAATTCTGACTTGCAACTGAGAATTCTGAGATGAACGTCAGAATTATACAAGAAGGGCCACACAAAAATATTTTTTTCGATTTGTATAATTCTGACTTACAAGTCAGAATTCTGAGATACAAGTCAGAATTCTGACTTGGAAGTCGGAATTCTAAGGTACAAGTCAGAATTCTGAAATTCAAGTCAGAATTCTGACTTGCAACTCTGAATTCTGAGATGAACGTCAGAATTATACAAGAAGGGCCACACACAAATATTTTTTTCGATTTGTATCGTATTGTATGCATGTCAGAATTTTGACTTCCCTCTCAGAATTCTGTTGTAAGTCAGAGTTCTGAGATGAAAGAATTATACAAATCGAAATAAGTATTTTTGTGTGGCCCTTCAATGATTTCGTACGTTATTACATCCAACAATTAAAAGAATAATAGCGTTTCTGTTTCAAGTAACTTATGACAGAACTCCTGAACCCACATAGCAATAGATATTCCAGGTATATTTCATGAATATACATTTAAGGATATTGTATTATGCTATGAATATGCCATGGATATATATATCAACTGGAGAATATTCCCTAGAAGTGCTCCTGGCGAACCTTTGATATATTTTAAGAATATTCCTTGGGAATATTCTTGGAATATCTTATGATATTCTTAGAATATGTAAGGTATATTCTATTAAGAATATTCCAGGAATAGAACCCGAGGAATATTCATAAAATATTCAGGATATTCTTAGTTTATTGTAGAAATATACGATAGGGAAACACCATAGAATATTCTTTAAATATATTTTATGAATATTCTAGGAATATTTGGAATATTCCAAGAATGTGACGAGTAAACGCTATTAGGCATGTATATATTGCATTTTGATGCAAGATTCACACAAGTAATAAAACACATAATATTCATAAACGAATATATTTTAAAAACAATATACACTGAAATATTTGACGTTTCAACCAATATTCATTGAATAGAATATAATTCAAAATATTTATTCACTGAATAAAATATTCCTGAATACTGTCATATTACAAATATTAGAAATGTATTCAAATTAGGATGTTCCTACTCTCAAACGAATGTATACTAAAAAATATACTGAAATAACAACTCTGTGAATTCATCAGCACTAATTAAAAAATAATAAATATATCATTTCATTGAAAAAGAAAATATGTATTACATCAAGAAATAGGTTAGGTTAGGTTTCTCACTTACAAAAGTAAACCCACAAATGAAGTATTCAAAATGAGTGGTATGATGGGTTCTTCAATGAATTTCACTTACTTCAGAATCTTCGCGTTGAGTTCAAAAACTGGTTAACACTATCATGGTTATATACATTAGGTTATGCATTCGAATAAGATCTTCAAATATTTTTGTTTTTAATAATATTGCATTATTTGAATACGTTATTATAAGATAATTCAAAATTCCATTGTATAGAATATTTCAAAATATTCCGTGGGGATATATTCTAAGAATATACCATATGGTATATTCGATCGACAATATTTTTAGAATATTCAAGGGTGAATAATCCATTTATAGACATTCTATGCACATTCTTTCGGGAATAATCCTGCCATATTCATTTAAGACTATTCTATGAATATTCTAAAGGCATGTATATATTCCAAGAATATTCTATGAATATTTGGAATATATACGTTCGTTTTATGATATACCGGGAATATTCTATGAATATCTGGTGTTGTGTGGGAACCTCTTCAGGCCCTTGATATCTTTCAGTACTTGAGGTAGTGAGGTGTATGCTTTGATTGCTTGGTAGTGTGTGCCTTTCTCATAATAAGTTGATTTATGGTAAGGGGCAGATAGCTCACTTCGATGTCTAGTGTGGAGGTTCATATTAGTAGAATATTGATCAGCATTTCAATCGGTCAATTTCCAATTTGTTGCTTAATTTATATTTTTTCATTTCATTGTAATTTCATTCCTGGGTTTTCTGCTTAATATTATTGTTATTTTTAGCTACTCTTTCTTTCAGATATAGGAATGAAATACTTTGTCTAATTTCCACTCACTCAATGTATTAATATCAATACGACCAAGGTTTCGGTTTCCACACCATTCTCAAGTGTTCTAGCACTACTGACCTAAATAGAAATATCGGAGTATATATATCCGAGAGTAGGTAATAAGATATATACCTACATTCATGCATTGAATATGCATGCATGAATGCATGCATATTTAATGCAAAAGCATGAATATGATAATCATTTTCAGGAGGTTGACAATTATCTATTTGCTGAAATATATTGATCGTGAAGTTGTACACCTCTTTCTTTTGTTTTCAAATTATTCCACTTGTTATATTCTCGTTCTCTGAGAATATCTCTCAATTTTCGTCCAACTTTCGTCATTGTCAATAATTATATTCATTCATTTTTTTGACTAGTAGCACATTCTGTTGTGATTTGAATTTGAATGAAATTTAATTGAATGTAGGTTAGTTTTTCATGGTCTATAATTGCATTGGAGAATTTCACTGAAATAAACAACAGAAATATTGACGTGGCAGATGAGTGACAGCTATAAAATAAGTAGAAAATATCACCAAACGTCAGACATCAGTCGTCAAAATCCATTTCAGAGTTTTCAGAGTAACACTTTAATTTTTTCCAGATTGATCATACACAAACATGACTACCAGAGACACACTTTTCTCCATGGTCTCGGAACCAGCCGCTGAAACTGGCAATAGAGTAACGATTGTAGGAGTTGGACAAGTGGGAATGGCTTGTGCCTTCAGTATTCTTTCACAGGTATATATTTGATCTATAATTCCATTTTGCTTAGAGTAACTTTGTACTTTTCGGCAGGGAATTTCTAACGATATTGTTCTGGTCGATGTTATGGAAGACAAAGTCAAAGGCGAAATGATGGATCTTCAACATGGATCTCTTTTCCTGAAGAACCCAAAAATCAATGGAAGTAAAGGTGAGATGTCGAGAGTTGGACTGTAGAAATGTAGGGTCATTTCAGTTGAAACGGAAGTTGAAATTATTTCCACACCATCAATACAAAGTTTCAAAGATAAATATTGGGGAAAGTCGATTATCTATTAGGGTTTTGATTGATTTCGATGTTTATTCATTTGTGGTTGACAATATAAGTTACATAGGTATAATGTTACAGGTTTATACCTCTTCAGGGTTGGGTTCCTTAACAAATAACTCACATTAAAATTATCAGAGTTTGTAGTTGCGTTATTGGTTGGAGTATCCGAGTCCATGACTGTAGTCGTTCTTGAGGATTCGGGGTTTTGTTGGGCCAGGGGAAGCATGCCTGAGACTTCAGGATGTTTCAGGCTTTGCGCTGTCCTCTATCTGATCACCAGTGGGTACTCCTCAAGGATGTCCTGAATTTGCTCCGATGGGTCTTCCACTGCTCCCAGGAGCCTGGCTGGGGAGAACGGTAGCTTCTTTTTTGGTATCCTTCTAGGTCCTCCACGTCACGTCCAAGGAGCGATAAGGGTGCTGATGGCAGTGGTGTTGTTGCTTATTCCTTTGAAACTGTATATACATATATATAACACTCATTGCAATGATATTGAAAAACTGAGGTTACCTTTCCTTAGATTTGAAAAGTATGTGAAATCTATTTTTATTTATGATTAGTTATCGGTTCTTCATATACTGTTTATTTAGTTTTTTGTTAATATTCGTTACTATATAGTGTAATGTACTTAGCATATTTTGTTTACTCACTATCTTTCATATGTAAAATGAGGATATTTTTTGGATTTATTCTGTTTGTATCCCTATTTGTGTAATAAATAAATAAATAAATCACCCATCAAACCTGTTGGTTTTAAATTTTGCCACCACGGAGAAAATGGCACATCGAGACCAAATAAATGTATTCAGAAATTTTCAATGTTATTTTATGATTTCCAGATTATTCGGTGACAGCTGGTTCCAAACTGTGTATCATTACTGCCGGTGTTCGACAAAGAGAAGGTGAAACCCGACTTGATCTGGTACAACGTAACACAGACGTTCTCAAATTCATCGTTCCAAATCTTATCAAATATTCCCCCGACACAATTCTTCTGGTAGTGAGTAATCCAGTAGACATTTTAACATACGTAGCGTGGAAGTTGAGCGGTCTCCCCAAAAACAGAGTTATTGGTTCTGGAACTAACTTGGATACCTCGAGGTTCAGGTTTTTGATATCTCAGAAGTTGGGAATATCTCCAACTAGTGTCCACGGGTGGATCATTGGAGAGCATGGTGATACTAGTGGTGAGTTTTGCTTTGATATTCGGTGTAATCATTATTCAAATATAATAACTCAACACCTTCAATAACAATTACACTTCCAACTTGAATCAATCAATTGTAATTTCAATATACTCTAATAATATAAACGTGAGATTTTAGGTGGACTGAAAATTTAGCAGGCTAATACACAGATGCCGCTATTATTATCAAATTCATATGGTTTTTAGTTAACCTCAACCTTCAAAAGTAACGTGTACAAGTTTCACAGCTGCCGGATTGTTAGTTTGTGGGATAAATTTAAAGTGGAGTTTTTTATCATTTTTTTTCTATGTTAGCCTACGTACTTTTAAGCTCAACTGTTATATTTTTTTGATATCATGATTATCAGACTCAAGATTCATGTTGTAATTCCAGAGAAAGTCAGATTTCTCTCTATAAATATACACAGGAATTTCGTTTTCACGATTCAGTAAACTTTCTTATAAGATAGGGCCTAACACCGTCTCTTGCGGAATTCCCAATTTTAAATATTACGCAGATCTTGCATCGTTGAAATTCGTTTGCATTCTAACATTCAAATTTTGTTGAAACCAATCATATTTAACAATGCCAATATTTTTTGTTTTTAGAAATCGCCTCAATGAGTTCTTATTAATGGTTTTGAAACTATTAACATTCAAAACATTCCTCCAATAAATAATTAAAAATTAGTAAAGATCAAAAATTAGTAAAGATCGGGATTGAGATACTCTGCTCAACACTCAAAAACGATAAAAAAAAACTAAGGTGAAAACCCCAACTCGTATATAGTGTAATCATTGAATTTTTTTTACGAGTTCCATCATCTGAGTCTTATATATTATCTTTACATTAACGATTTGTAAAAAATAATTTCCAATTTTATAGAAAACTGTAGCCTACCAGTTATAATTTTTGCCTCATTTGAAATTTACCAGTTTTATTCACCAAATAAAATCCTGAACCATTTTTTTATATATTTGAAACTATTTCAAACACTCATGTTTTTATTTTTAGACTGTATATAATTGTATTCAAATAAGTAATAATAACTTGAAAACTTAGGGGAACATGCCCATTTTTGTTTATAAATGAATATATAGTGGTAAAAGTGGCAAACAATTCAATTCCGTCATGGTATCATGAAATTTGGTATATGATTTTGAAACTTATAAAGACTTACATAATTTTTACCAATTTCATCAGAACACGCCTTTATAGAAAATGTTGATTTCAAGAGCTAATTGTTGATATTCATTAGACAGACGAACATATTATTGTGGTAAAATTTTCAGAAAATCCACTATGAAATTCAATTGAGCGTTAATCGTTAATTAGGTCTGTTAATAACAAAAAATTAATGTCACTTCAATTCTGACTCTGTTGAGAAAGACTATGTAAATTTCATTTCGTAATATGAATGTTACACATGCATTTTACTTCGATTACTCTGTATAGTAGTTTATCATAACAGTTAGTCTTATCTACTTCATCAATGGCAAGTTGCAAATTCAATTGACACTCAACATACCAACAAGCATATCATTGCTTATTTTGTATCAATATAGGCAACTTAATCAACACATCCATGTATAGTGTGTTGTCTACTGGTGCCTTCGGGAGATTCAAATATTATATGTTCTAAACTCCTAGACAAGAAATTGGTTCTGTTTTGTTGATTTGTAAATTATCAATAACTTAGTGGTTAGATTTTACTATCGCCAAAAACATTATGTCTCGATTCAAGTTGAAATTGGAAACAGAAAAAATCTAGATACAGTGAGAAAAAATTTTAGGAATTATTATCGATTCCTCAAGCAGCGTCTCTTTTAAGTGTACACAGCGCCTCTGTGAGTGGGAGGATGAAACTTATAGGTCGTCTTTATTATTTCTTCATCAAGAGTGCTGTATGTCGAGAGTTTTTGGCAAAATATTCAGGGAATGTGTAGTAATTATCTTCAATGAGTTACCAAAAGATAAAGGAGCTCAAAATAATTACTAAATTCTCCTGAACTTATAGTTGCTTCAGTGAATCAATGAGTGTTTTGAATTTAGTATTCTACTATGTGTTTTATTTGACTGGCCTGCATATTATTTTGGATAATTTTTTGTATGTTTTGGTATTTCTATGTTGCTGAACGAATAGATAGATAAATTGAATCGAATTATCCGAAATGTCGATTGTATTCGTTACTTAACGTTTCTTTTATTCCTTTGTCAGTGGCTGTATGGTCTGGAGTGAACGTAGCAGGGGTAAGATTACGTGAAATCAACCCCTCAATCGGCACCGATGAGGATCCCGAAAATTGGAAACAAGTCCACAAGGATGTTATAAATTCAGCATATGATGTCATCAAATTAAAAGGATACACCTCGTGGGCCGTAGGATTAAGTGTAGCATCATTAGCCAGTAGTATTCTCAAGAACATGAACAATGTCCATGCTGTATCAACGTATGTTAAGGTAAGAGTGGTTTTCTGTGTTCTGTAATAGATTGGGAGAAACAATGTAACTTGTAGCACGACGACCATATCATTCAATTAAGTTTTATGTCTATTTTATTATGCTTATCATTAATTTTATGTACTCAGTAGGGATACAACTGCTACAGAAATGATTATAATCGGATATTCTATTGAATATACTGTAACATGGGTGGGCCATCGGAAACTTGACATGGAGGTTTTGGATACTAATCTTGCAAATCCTAAAAAATGTCGATTTTTATTGGGAGGGGGACAGTTTTTCCCCATTTACAGCGTCGTCACTACAACCCCGTAGCAGAGGGGTGAACAACCCTTGGAATTTCAATAGGGAACTGGGGGCGAGTCGTTCGAAAGATCTTGGAATTCTCTAAACAACGGTGTACATTTTCTTCAATTTGGACGAACCATTTTAAATTTAGAGCTGAAGTTACGTACTTTATTCTCATGTTAGCATATGCTCAAAATGGGCACCTCCAGCTTCCATGCAATAATAGAGATTCTGTTGGAAACGTTCTCGAACTTAGTGGAGCAATTCTGGAGTGATTTGGCGACATTCATATGTGATTCGTTGCCGTAAATCTTCGAGTGGAGGAGTGCAGTAAATTCTGCTTTTCAAATGACCCCACAGAAATAAATCTAACGGCGAAAGGTCTGGTGATCGTGGTGGTCATTCGATAGTACCCTCCTCCCAATCCAGTGATCCGAAAAAGTCCGATCTAAATACTGCCGAACAGGCGGAGCATAGTGCAGAAGAGCCCCATTTCGTTGAAATATTAACGGATCCTCCCGATAATTGTGGTCATTTTCAATAATATCAGTAAGAAGGGGATTAATGGTATCTTCTAGAAGCTCCAGATACATATGTCCGGTTGAATTGCCTTCTAAAAACAATGGGCCAACAATACGGTCACCAAAAAGTACAGTCCATACATTTAATTTTTGTGGACGTTGAGTATGCACTTCATGAAAAATATGAGGATTTGAATCAGCTCAATAGCGACAATTATGGCGATTAACTATGGCGATTTAGAAAAAAAGAACATTCATCACCGCTCGTTCACTAACAAACTCGCAAAATTGCAAGCGTCGATCGAAATCATCTTCATTCAGTTCTTGCAATAATTTAATCTTGTAGAGATGCATTTTGTGGGTTTTTAAAATACGCCGAATGCTAGTTTGTGACACCTCGGAAACAAATGCTAACTTTCTTGTGCTAAAAGTATGCTCAAACTCAACATGGCCCAGAATTGCCACTTGATTTGCCGTTTTTCATTTGCTACAGATCCAGTTGCGCGAAATTCTGCAGTTAAATTGAAAACATACTGTCGCGACACATTCTTTCCATGTTGATGACCGAACAGTTCAGCGGCTCTCGCAGCACAACGTCTATTTCCATAGTACAGTTTAGTCAACACAACCCTCTCTGCAGTTGTATGAATCATTGCTTCTTTAGCAACACTTTACGGCACTCACTACTAGTAATAATGTAGATATCACTTTTAACATAAAAATGAGAAATAGAAACATCATTCTTAACCATTTCTCATTTGTAATAGTCCTTTCATCATAGAACTAAAAAATTAACGCGTGAAAAACAAATGAAAGAGTTCCAAATACATTCCAACTGAGCAACAATTTGTTGCTATCAACAATATTGAAAAAGTTAATTATCGGAAAGAACCTTTTTGAATACGTACAAATTTAAAAAAAATGTACACCATTGTTTAGACAATTCCAAGCTGTTTCAAACGATGTTGACTCGCCCCCTATTCCCTATTAAAATTCCAAGGGTTGTTCACCCCTCTGCTCCGGGGTTGAAGTGACGACGCTGTAAATGGGGAAAAACTGTCTTCCTCTCAATAAAAATCGACCTGTCTGAACGTTTTTTCGGATTTTCAAGATTAGTACCCATAATCTCCATGTCAAGTTTTTGATGGCCCACCCTGTAGTTATGATATGCCTAGTATGAAATTTAACGAACAACAACACAAAGTATGGTTATTGGTGAAAGAAATTATTTTCTCCTCTAGTTTCCAATTGATAGGTTGAACGAGTTCGAATGAAATTATATCTATAAAGTTATTGTTTCCTCATTCAAAAATTTGCCTGATTTTTATTAGACAGTTGTTTAAATCAGTCCAGCAGTGCCATTTTTCAAACAAAATTTATCCAGCTTCCTGAAAGAACGTTTCCTGCAAGTGACCGTCTCTCGATTTCTTTCACCATCAATGATGGTGTTCCCCAGGGATTCATATTATCTCCAATCTTTTTTTTATTTTATATCAACGACTTATTGGAAAAAAAACAAGAATTCAATATATTGCTTGTAAATCTGTTACTTCTCTGCCTAGTTGAACAAATAACTATTATTTCAATCATTTATTATTCAATTAGTAACATCTGAATTGATATGCTCATATGCTCTTGATGAATGTTTTGTGGTTTTAAAACACATCTACACTCCTCACTCATTTATTCTAGACTAGAAATAATTCTTAATTCTTCTTTCAGCAGTAAATATTCTCCTTTCTGACTTTCCGTCATTTTCTTCAACTGACTTCGAAATTCAGGAAATAATTAAAGACTTAAGAAATCACAGGTTACATTGTTTCACTCAAAGTCTTTACTGCAGTTGAAATAAAGATACCCCTCTATTATCAACTGAACGGGGGCCAATTTCTGGAGTCATGGAAATCTTTTTTCGCATTGAAACTGACGTTATATTTAACTATCTGCAACAATCTAAATGAATGTCCGGCCTAGAATGTAGAATCATGTGATTTTGATGCCCAGTGGAAAAGGATTTCCATGAGACGACCAGTTTTCATATCACAATAGCTCAACGATGTTGAGCTCATTATCAACTGGGATAGAATGGCATTTTTGTTTTTGCTTGGTAGAACTAGCTTACAGCTTTATGATAGAGCTTCAGTAGTTGCTGATCTGCTATTTACTGAATGAACTGTATGATTATGCAATAAAACGTCTGAAACATATTTAAAAGTATGCCAATTGTGAAAATTTCAATACTACTTTTTGACAAGGAAAATGGTGTGGGAAGAAATTTTAATTTTAACACTATATACACTGGAGAACGTAACTTTATTCAAAATATCATCAGCTTGATCTGATATATCTTCTTCATATCAGTTTTTGCACTAGGTTTCGAGTGTCTGTTACATATTTGTGATTTCATATATCATTATTTGAAACATATTCGACTGCCATGATTATAGCGCAAAGAAAGAACTTTCTATCGATCCAAACTTTGCAGATTGTTTCGAAAGTTTGTCCGTTTTCATGAGTCAACTTCAAATTGTAATGTCTCAGCGAAACAAGCGACATTTGAACCACTTTTGCCAACGTAACACACGTCGACTAATTCCGTCAGCTAAAAATTGGATTCTTGGGACTCGACGAAGTCGACGAAGCGCTTTTTGTCTGATCCTGATTGGTGGCGCAGATTCTACCAGTGAGAAAGTGCTTAGAAAGATGGTAGTCGGCTGGCCAAAAGTCTGGGGAGTATGGTGGGTGAGACAGAACTTTGACACTCAATACGATGATTTGTGAAACGTGCGGACGTACGTTGTTGTGGAGCATGGTTGGACCGCTTCTGTTGACAAGTGCCGGCTGCTGCTGAAGCAATTATCGATAGATTTCGTCGGTTTACTCAAAATAAGACTTTGCTGTGATGGTTAGGCTCGGTTGCAGAAAGTTATAGTGAATCACACACATTTTTCACAGTTTTCACGCATCTACACACATTTCCACTACCCCAATATTAAACGTTTATGACAGTATAGGAACAAACCACTGCTTATTTTTTTTTGCTATCCTTATGCTTTCCAAGCTTTATATTATGCAAATTATGAAAAGAAGAGCCATCTTCTGGCTAGAGTACCATCAAATATTTCGTTTCAATTTGTATCCTGCTACTATTAGTCCCAGGAATTTTCAAGGTCTTGGGAAATGATTGAATTGAAACTGTCGCTTGTCCTAGGGATTACATGGGTTGGATTACGACGTATTTTTATCGATGCCAGCAACTTTGGGATATAACGGCGTTGTAGATATTGTGAAACAGCCACTGTCAAGTAGTGAAAGGTGTTCTTTGAAATTCTCAGCGGCACTTATGAGCGAAGTCCAGAATGGTGTTATTTTTTAGAAGTGAAAACTCACCCCATCTGCCGCGAAGAAACTGGTAATCAACCCATATACCCTTTGTTTTCTATCCCCCATTTTCTATGACTGTCACTTTCAATAGATAATAAATGTTTCTTGTAACTCCATGAAGTTTTGTTAGAAGTTAGAACTTTTTTTCGACTTGTTTTTACTTCAAGAAATATGTTGAAAATTCAACCGGAATCCTGCATGTAGTTTTTTACCAAATTGAATATTCTGGGACAGAGATAATGGAATGCATATCTCCAAATAAACTGATGAAATACAAGGTCAGAAAAGATATACTGGAAAGGGATCATTTTTAGTATTTTTTGATTAGAAATGCAATTGTGTGAAAGCTATTTTACGGGTTTTTGGCCGTGTTCTGCAGGTTTCAAAGGCGATGTGATAACGGACGCAGTGCCTAAGCTAATAATAATAATAATAATAAATGGGCTTTATTCACACACAAAAATCAATGAAGGGCGAAGTTCACTTGTGGTTTTTACAACTCAACCTAGGGAATAGTATGAATTATATAGAAATTTAAAAATAATTACCCAGTACACATAAGTTAGCGGGTAGTTCATGACTCTTTGTGTATCAAAGGCTTTAAATTTCAAAGTAAATATTAAATAGTGAGCCAAAGGGAAAACCATATGAGCAAGGCATACCATGAATATATTATCTATCCAGAAGGCTTCAGATATGTTTTCAACTTTTTCTTGAAATTATAATATGAAGTAGAGCATTATATTGTTCGATAGAGTAGTGAATGAAACTACGAGAAAAGCAGGCTGTCGAGTGTTTTGGAATAATAAAAGTGTGGCGGTATATTTTCACCTCGGAACTTGCCATTTAAAATGCTGGCTTCGACAACGTTTTCCAATAATTTTTTAATGACTAATCGTGTGGGGTTGCACAGCCGTGGCGGATTCAAATCACGGAGCAATCCAACCATCAGTTGTAAATTATGCGGTGGCAGGCCTGGCAAATCCAATGACTTCAAAAACTCTGTTGAATATTTCACAGCTTCGGTGGCATCGCAAACTATATCTACATTCGATGTATACACAATAATAGTGGTAAGAATTTTATATATTAGATTAGTGGGCGTGGCTTGATTACCTGACCTTGTTTTTGTACTTTTAGGGACAGGTAGCTAAACTTTATTGATGTTCATTGCCACTTCTCTTCTATTGAAATTATCCCTAAATCGGAAAATAGCTTTCACACAGTTATCTTCGGCCGTGAACGTTCACATTCTTCAATCTCTTGAGATTCTTCGAAAATAGTCACTTTCCATGGGAGAACTTTGAATAATCAACAATGTAGGAGAATTATTGGGCTGAGGTTTTTTGGTTCTTGTCGACCACAAAATGATTAAAAAAATGTTAAAACTGTGTAAAGATTTATATTTGTTCCAATGATAATACAATAACCTCTACGGCAAGTATTCTCAGGTTTTCAAAAACAACCTAAAACTGATTTGAAATGATCAATTTAGACTTTTGGAGTCATACAATAACTTTGGGGAAAATCTTCCAAAAATCGACAGTCGTGGACAATTTTTTTCCATTATCACATTCTCAAGCTCTGCTACTGGTATATCGACCCAGAGGATGATGAGGTGACGGTCAAAAGTTGAACTATCCCCGAAGAGAACGAAACGAATATAGTTGAGCTGAGAAGAATATCAAGCAGAAGCGGGTTCCTTCAATATTTGAAGACTAGAGCACCTCATCTTCCTGTAGAAGTGTCTGACCAACACTTCTTGGAAAACTACCTAGAGAGCACCTAGTTTGAATAAAAAAAATTGCAAACAGTTACAGGGAGTTCTGTTGAAAGCTGCCACGTCCGTTGTAACAAAATAGTACCTTCATTTCCTTGGAAACAAGCAACAAAAACTAAACTGTTTTGTGAAATGCAAGTACCTGAATAATTCGCACATTCGCATTCAAGATACTGATGAAATAGATGAAAAACCGGTGAATCTTCTAGACCTGCGTATCCCAGAAAAACCACAGTTGCAAAGACGTCGAGATTCAACCTCTATCCTCGTAGTCAAGTCACATACAACTGATGATGTCTGCGGCAGTAGCAGACGAAACGTTTGTTACTTCAAATCTCATTACACCATGGCCTAGCAGCTCGGATTTTTTCTCTTCAATATTGAACCATCTATGTTCAGATTTAATGTATGGTTTGCTATAGAATTGCTTTTTGATTTCCCCATTTGAAAGTGAGGAATCAAATGAATGTCGATGAAACTTCTGTCACTAAACTAACTATTATTTATTCCGAAGTTGGTCACTGCCACTGTTCATGTTCATGTTCATGTTCATCACAAAACACCTCAAATCGTCTTATTGTCGTGATGCGGGTCATAATTTTAACAAATGTACATTCGTTGTGAGTTGACAGTATTCTTTCAAGAATTATCCAAGAAAGTAACTTGACATATTTAGCGAATAATTGCAGAAACAGATGCAGCGAGTAAGTATTCATCCAAGCCAAAACAAAAATTGCTTTTTATTGAGATTCTTTCTAATGAGTTTATTATTTACATGCAATTATTATTCAGGGCCACCACGAAATCGAAAATGAAGTATTTTTGTCAGTACCAGCTGTTCTAGGAGCTAATGGAATATCGGAGACTGTTCAACAAAATCTCACAGATGAAGAGAGAAGTCACCTTCAAGATTCTGCCAGACTTATGGGAACTGTTCAAGATGAATTGATCTTTTGAAGAAATTTGGACTTTTTTGGACTTAATTTCTTAGTTTCAATTTGTTATAGTAATTTATATTTTTTATTTCTTAATAAGGTGGGCACTGATTTGCTGAAATTGAATGGAGCATTTATACAAACCTCATTTCAAATACCAGTGCTTTATGTAGGTACCTGAAGATCTTCAGATCTACAAATAGAAGTTTGATGAATGAATATTCAACATCGTTTTCAAAGTTTCGTTCCTTGCTGTACGATTTTTTGGAAATGAAGTAATTGGTGAAAGTATGACCTGCCCATAGTTTCTAAAAAAACATCTGATTCAGTACTATACCCTTCTTAGTTGGTTATATCTGCATGTGTCATATAATTTATTTAAGTTTTTGATATATTTTGATGTAATAGTGAATCTCTCAGGTTGAAATATTTTTACCAAAAGTGTCTTCAGTACAAATTATTCAGTTGCTTTAAGAAATGAGGAAGGTTATTCTCTAATAAGATAACAAATTGGATCAGAATGAGAATAAACGTTCAATTGCTACCTGAAAAAAAAACTTTAATGTTCTTCAAGAATATTGTGATCATCTTTCAAGAGTTCAGGAATATTCCTCTGTACCAAACTTTTCTAAAAAATATATTCTATTCAAATTTACTTTCCTGGATTATTTGCGAAATGAAATGTTATTACATTGGAGATCCAGAACCAATTCAGAATGGAGTCACTTTGTTCCCAAGATTTTCAAGTTATCTATTTCAGATGTTTCAATCAGTGCCGGATTCACACTTGATAAGACCCTGACCTGAATTGAACCGTCAGCTGAGGGGGTGGCTCACCACAAGCTGTGGGTACTATAAGCTATAACACAAGCTGTGGGTCCTCTAAGCTATAATTGTGCACTGATTATAACAAGCTCAAAATATTTGAAACTTTGAAGATCTGGATATTCAAGGTGGATGTTTTAGATGTTCCAATCAGTGCCGGATTCAGACTTGATAAGGCCCTGACCTGAATTAAACCGTCAGCTGAGGGGGTGGCTCTCCACAAGCTGTGGGTCCCCTGAGCTATAACACAAGCTGTGGGTCCTGTAAGCTATAATTGTGCACTGATTATAACAAGCTCAAAGTATTTGAAACTTTGAAGATCTGGAACCAATTGGGAGTTAAGTCACTTTGTTCCCAAGATATTCAAGTTGGATGTTTTAGGTGTTCCAATCAGTGCCGGATTCAGACTTAGGCCCTGACCGGAGTCAAACCGTCAGCTGAGGGGTGGCTCTCCACAAGTTTTAGGTTCTGAACTATAATTCTGCACTGTTTTTAACAAGCACAAAGTATTTGAAACCTTTGCCATATGAATTCCCATCTACTTGAGAATGGAATATCTCAACAGTAGATCTGTAGTCTAGGAATTATTGTGATTTGATATTCACGTATTTCTCAGGAACTATGAAAGAAGTTACTGACGCAACATATCATTGTTATCGTGATGTAATTTATTGAGAGTAATATTTTGTATGCGTGCTTGTTGTAACCAATTTTGTATTTTGTGATACGTATCGTAATTTTAGTAAGAATTAGGATGATATATTTCATATTGTGAATTCGTTTTATGCTTCGCTTTTTGATTAGTTTTTTTATACTTGCAGAAATATATACATTCTCTTCAAGGTGTTTTTATTGATCCATCTCGTCTCTGATTAATGTGATTGTTTGAATTCATTTTGAACACATAAACAATAATTTACAGCTTGTGTTTTGTAATGAACTCAAGAAATACTTTCTTAACAGAATGACTATAAGAGAGTAAAATAGTTTTCCTCAAACTTTGACAATATTGAACGTGTCGGAATTTGAATTCTGGCCAAAATAGAGCATTGAATAATGAATTACAGCTTTTGTTGATATCAATGTGTCTTGTAATGAACTGCCAAGAGATATATTGATTTAAAGCTACGGAGTTGTACTTGTAATTTAACAGTCACCGAAACCACAACATCTGTAGACAGAGAAAAATGGTTTTACTCAAACTTGGACGAAATCTAATCGAATTCCTAAAAATGTATTCTAATTGAATATGTGAAGGAGAGGAAAACAGTTATTATGAGAGAGCTTGAAATATCTGAAACTAGGTAGTTCCATGAAAATACTGAACATATTAAAATTTGAGTTCTGACTAGAATGTTAAACACATTTTGAAAAAATCAAAAAAGGTGTAGAAGTAAAAAAAACCGACAAGGACTAGTATCAAAGTTTCCTTCATTCAATGATGAGAAAGAAGATGCGTCAGTCTATTTTCAACAATTGTAATTCAAATACCGGTGGAAAAAACTTATCAGTAAAAATGTAATATCTTGACCTTAGAATCTAAAACAAACATATTTGAGAAACTTTTTAACCTAAAAAGACTATCTTTCAAGCTTCCGATCAACTTAGCATCATCGAGAGACAAGAAGACAGCTTTTTTGTTCTGGTATGAAAAAAGTGTTTTTTTCATACTTGGTTGTCATTAAATTCTACTCAGATTCCAACTTCTGTGTTACCCAAAATCAGAAGACTTGCATGCAAAATTGACTACAATCACACGCTATCTTGAAGGAGGATTCCAAACAACTAGTTCTACCTAAATCGACCATAGTACTGATAACAAGAGGAAGGTTAAATGATGAGTCAATCAGAACGAAACCTATGCAGGAATGAGGATATATTTTCTCATCTAGAAACGACTCATTCACGGAAGTTGGTGCTCCAGAACTTCTTGACAAATACAAATATGTTTTCAAATATTATTATGTGAGTTTGTAATCGATGAAGAAATAATTAGTGTGATTTCTGGAAATAGGAATGCAGTTTTCACTCACTATATCATTTATTTTGTCATTGTAGTTGACAATCACCTCAAGATCTTACAGCAACTTTTGTGTAACTATTTTGCACCATTTATTTGCACTTTGTGAAAGATTAATATGTTAAAAACTTTTTGAAAATATAGTATTTGTGATGGCAAATATTATAATTTGTCACCTGAAAGGTTTCGCCTTTCGGAACATGTTCCTGAAGCTCAGGATCATTATGTCCAAGAATCATGTGCCCTCATTAGTTGCAGAAGAGTAGAATAGGGTCGGGATGTAATAAATTTATGGCAGCAACTTTGTTCTTTCCCGACAGATAGTATGACCAGATTTATAGGAGTTTGCGCTGATACTTGCCGCAGAGAGAGTTCTTTACAGAGCTGACCTCTTGTGAGTTGTTCTGTTTTTCCCCTCGGATAGTGTTGGGTTAGGCTAGGTCGAAAGTGAGTGGATCTATTCGACCCCCACCGCAACTCGCAAGGATTTATTGTGGCTCACACCTATTCAAACTCGACCAAATAAGCCTAGCTTCTCAATGAATTCTGTTAGTTTGTATGGTGAGTGGTCTTTCAGGTCAGATGGCGAGAGTACGGCTCTGCCAAACTCTAAAAACCTGATTTGGTCTCCAGCGGGGCAGGAACAAAGTATGTGCTCTGCTATTTCATCATTTTTCGAGCAGAGGCGACACATACTGTTTTCCGACAGTCCGAGTCTTTGCATATGATTATTCAAATGACATTGATCTTGAGAAGGGCTGTTAGACATCGTAGTTCATCCAACAATTGTTTGGTATCACGCTTCGGTGGGTGAATAAACGCCTTGGACTGAGCCATTCCTGGAAGATTCTGTCAGAAGTCCATGAATCATCTTACCATGCAGGTGTTCAATGTTTGTTTGGCAAAGCCCAAAGGGATGCCAATGACAGGTTCTGGCCCGATGAAGCTGCTTACAGCACCCTCCTTTGCAAGGGAGTCATCAGCCTCATTGGCTTACAGACCAGTATGACTAGGTATCCAGACCAGAGACAATCTGTCAAATCTTCCTATCGAGGTGAGTCGGTTTTGGCCAGTTGCTGCCAATTTAGAACTTGCTTGGTAGGAACTGAGAGCTTTCAATGCCGCTTGACGACTTGTGTATGAGATTGCAAGTTCTTGGGCAGGTTAATATCTGTGTCGTGGGTCTGCGACTGAAAACAGCTGCACCAGAATCTGAAGGTGTTTTTGGTACATCTGTGAACCAGCAACTCTCTGCTCGGATGGTGTACATCTCATACGGCATTCAGATGATGGAGGAAGACCGTTGCACATTTGTCTATCCTGAATTCCATATCGGTATCGTGCGCGTATTTTTCCACCACCCTTTTGGAATGATGGAGACTTTTTTCTCCAGACGCATATAGTTCAAAATTTTCCATATGAAACAAATGGGCGACCTTATGCTTCTCATTTCCAGGATTGCCACAGTTATACCTTCGAATATGTCTGAGATGCAGAAACAATAACCACAGAACAGTATGGTTCCAGAAAAAAATGCTCCTTCCATTACGAATGGTATTGAAAGTGCAGGAAAATACACCCAATGATCTGCCAGCTCTTATGTCGACCATATTGACTTTATAAGTTGGCAATGCTGGTAGTCACGGTAGGATGAACTTTGCAAACATTTTTGGTTGTTACCCGAATATGAAATGTTTTGGATGTCTTCGCTTATAATTTTTTTTCATGGTTTGTATTGCCAAGACTTCACCAAGTTTTTTCATGATAAAAAGAATCTGGAGGGGTCGCCTTTATACCTTTGAAGGTTATTTTCAGTATGAATTCTGGTAGTCGGATGTTGCGTTTTGTAACCAAACAAACTACTTCATTCTCTAATATAGATATTATTGAATTACTACATAGATATATAGATTGAATTACTATATAGATATTATTGATATTATTTTTTGTTGCTGAGTCCAAAATTGGAGTTTTCTTCCATTATTCGGTTTGCGGAGTACCAAACTTACCTATATGAAAGAACTAGAGAAAATTCAGAACAATTTCTTGAGGTATTTATTTTGTAAGCGATATAACAAGTGGCCAAGCTATAACTCAACAAGGTCTTTGAATCTATGACATGAATTTAAAATATCTTGAGAACAGCGACGCCAATTTTATTATCTGCAATGATATTCATGCACAAACTTGTAAATAACAACATTGATTCTTTAGAAATTCTCAGTATGTTGCCATTTCACTTACCCGATTTCCGTTCATGTTCAATATTCCACCATAAGTACTGCAATTACAGCACCACTAATATCTTTACTCAACTTAGTTAATCTTTTGAATATATCAATAGATGGACACTTTTCCAGTCAGTATTCCGCACAAAAAATTAGAGCATATATTAGATTAAGCTATTTTAGCAGTATTTCCTTCTACAGTTCTGGTAGATATTTCACTATTTTTATACGTTCATAAGTATTTCACAGATTATATGAACTTTTATTTCATTGTTTGGTGTAATAAATGAATAAATGAATTAGAAATATGCTATTTTTTATCAAATTCATTGAAACAATGTGAAATATCATTTTATGTTCTTGAATTACTACAGAATTAAAACCTTTGACAAATTCCATTGAAGTTTTCAATTATATGCCTAGGTCCAAAAATTAGCTTTGGACATCAAATCTTCAATCATATGACATAGTAAGTATATCATTGAGTAATTGACAGTGAAATCAAGAAAGAAGTTTTGATAGAAAATCTATTTTTCATTCATATAATACTAACTGCCTTGTGGTGTATGGGAGATGTCAAAT